GGAGGGCGCGTCAACAACGTAAACTTTATTTATCAAAGCCTCGAATGTCTTTTAATATACGACAAGTGGATGACGAACTCACCGAGTTGTGTTTGAGGGAGGGAGGTCGAGGCTGGTCTCCTGCCTACCTGCAGGTTGTTTGTTCCAGGGGTCAACGCCCCCGCTGTCCGGGCTGTAACTGCTGGTCGCACACAATCCAATGTATGAACCACAAGCTCGGCTGATCAGGTACTGACTTTAGGTATCTGTCCAGCTCCCTTTTGAAGACAGCCAGGGATCTATTGGTGACTCCCGTTATGTAGGATGGGAGGCTGTTGAACAGTCTTGGGCCCCTAACACTTATTGTGTTTTCTCTTAGTGTATTCATGGCATCCCTGCTTTTCATTAGGAGTCGTGGCTCTTGCAAACTGGACTTCATGACTAGTTCCCAGTCCTGTCATACCTACTTTTGAAGTTGTATATAGAATTTCGCTTTTGTATATGAAAGAAAAAACTGAGTGTGAGAGAACGGTTTCGGGTGATTTTGTCTTCGAAAGGTAAGGAAGTTATTGCCATCTTGGGTTCAAGGTGTGGAGGGTAGGGGTGGGGGTAGGGGGGTGGTGGGTAGGGGGTGGGGGATGCTTTGATGTTAAATAAGGGCTTCTGATCTAAGAATTGGAGCTACCTCCCCCTTCCTTTGGTCAAATCTGATTTCCCCTAAAGGCGTTGTATGACCCCTACGGGTTTAGCTCACCCTCACTAACATGAAGAGCGTGTGTGCACGCACGTGCTGGCACCAGTACCTATAACACTTGCTTGGCGCCATCCTGGGTGCCACTGGTGTTGTGCTTGTGAGTAAGAGTTGTGGTAGCAGTGTTGTGGTAGCATGGCACACCTCGCACACACACACACACACATTATATATAAAGAAGAAATTAAAAATGTGTCAGGGTATACCACAAATACTAACCATGCAATGTAATGTGAAGGACCTGGCAGTGATAATGCCAGAGGATCTCGCCTTCAAAGACCACAACAATGTATCTACCTCATCCGCTAGGAAAATGATAGGATGGATAATGAGAATCTTCAAAACTAGGGACGTCAAGCCCATGATGATTCTCTTCAAATCGCTTGTTCTCTCTAGGCCGGAATACTGCTGTACACTAACGGCCCCCTTCAAGGCTGGCGACATTGCTGACCTGGAGAGTGTACAAAGAACTTTCACAGCACACACAAATGCGATAAGGCACCTAAACTACTGGGAACGGTTGAAGGTCCTTGATCTGTATTCCCTCGAACGCAGGCGAGAGAGATACATGATAATATACACTTGGAAGGTCCTGGAGGGATTGGTACTAAACCTGCAGACGAAAATCACTCCATATGAAAGCAGACTCGGCAGGAGATGCAACTTTCCCCGTGAAAAAGGGGCGCCACGAGACCTAAGAAAACATAATTAGGGTCCGGGGCCCCAAGACTGTTCAATCCCCTCCCAGCATACATAAGGAGTTCCCAAAACCCCCTTTCTTTTTTTTAAGAAGCTCTGGGCAGGCACCTAAAGCAATACATGAAAAACCGGGCTGGTTCGTACTCACTTGCGTGGGGCCAGCAAAACCCGGGTTTGATCAGACCCCTGATCCCCTAGGCCGGTTTTAGACCGGGCCGGGGGGACTTGTTTCCAAACCCTCTCCAGGTGAACCCATAAATAATAATATATATATATTATATAAAATATAAAATATATAATATATATATAAATATATATATATTAATATATAAATAATAATAATAAAAATACAGGGAGGTACCCCCTAAACGGGACGGGGAAACTCTCACCAAAAGAAGCAAACTCCTCACGAAACCAAAGGGTTCTCCCCAGAACTGTTTGAACATTTCCTTCTCCACCACCCCCTATTTTTTAAGCTACAGTAAACTTATTAATAACAGAATACTTTGAAAAAAACACAACATAAATAAAATGGTACAAATACCAAAGGTTAGAATCTCCCCAGCCCTCCGAAGCCCCACGGGGAGCCCGTTACGCATGTTTTTCCCCTCGGGATGGCCACCTGGGGCGCTGAACATGAAAGTGGTGCACGGGGTCCTTGGGGGTGTCGATATATTTTCGGGCGTCACGGAAAAAATTAACTAAATTAAAAATCGATTTAAGTGCTCCCTTTTTTTTTTTAATAAATTTCCCTAATACTTAAAACATTAACTTTAAGGACATGTCTTGCAAATATACACAAGATACATACCAGAGAGGTAATTTTTTCTGTGTACATAATACTGAATATTTTAAGCCTATTTTAGGTATTAAAGTTTTCTTTTCTGGAGGGAAAATTTACGGCACCCTTTGACCCTCTGATTGAAAAGCTTGAAAAAACCCAATTAAAACCCCAATAGGGGATTTAGGAAGGTAAATGAAGGGGAGTAACACTGTGAGTGGGTTAAAAGGCCGAAGATTTTAATTTGGTTTTCAATCTAACCAAAATTTAGAAAGGGGGAAGGGGAAACCCTGGGAAAGGCCCCAGTCAATGACCAAAGGCCCCCACTGCGGGTCAAATTGACTAAGACCCGCGTCAAAAACCTTTTCCTTTTCCTGCAAACCTTACCTAACCTAACGTTACCTAACCTAACCTTCCTAACCTAACCAACCAAACCTTACCTAACCTAACCCAACCTAACCCTTTCCTAACCAACCCAACCTTTCCTAACCAAACCTTACCAACCAAAAACCCAACCAACCTTACCTAACCAACCTAACCAAACCAACCTTTTAGATGAAAGGTTCGAAACGACAAAATTTTTGAATTAGAAAACATTGCAACTCTTGGGGATCTTATTGAGGAAATTTCGCCCACAGTGGGTTCATCGGGGCCATACAAAGGGAAAAATTGAAGAACAGGAGGAGAATGAGGTAATCATCCCCCAGCCTTTATCGATGGTCAGTCCCTCAATCTTGAAAAATACGGGATATGAGCGGAAAGCCGCTTAAAACCGTAACAGGTGGGGGCACTCGATGGGTCACATTTGTCCAATTGGAAGAGGCCTGTCTAAATTTACTAACCTAAACCTTACCCAACATAACCTAAACCCAACCTTTACCAACCTTACCTTACCAATCTAACCTAACCCCCAAACCTTACCTAACCTAACCTTTACCTAACCTAACCAACCCTTTCTAAACCCAACCTAACCTAACCTTACCTAACCTAACCTTACCAACCAACCTAACCTTACCCCTTTCCTAACCTAACCTAACCTAAACCCTTACCCTTTCCAACCTAACTTAACATTTCCCTTACCTTCCTAACCTAACCCAAAATTGCCTTACCTCCTAACCTAACCTACTTACCTTTCCTTACCTAGCCAAACCATCCTTTCCTAACCCAACCCAACCTAAAAACCCAACCAACCAACCTTACCTAACCAACCTACCCAACCTAACCCTTAAACCCAACCAACCTTTCCTTTCCACCTAACCTAACCTTTTCCTAACCCAAATCCTTTCCCACCTAACCTAACCTTAAACCCACCTCAACCTAACCTAACCCAACCCAACCCCACCTTACCTAACCAACCTTTCCTTGCCTTACCTAACCTAACCTTACCCAACCCAACTTACCTTACCTACCAAACCCTTTAACCTACCTAACCTACCTAAACCTAACCTAACTAACCTAACCTTACCTTACCTAACCTAACCTAACCTCAACCTAACCTACCTAACCTTACCTTACCTAACCTAACCTAACCTTGCCTACCTAACCTACCTAACCTAACTTTACTTACCTTACCTTACCTAACCTACCTAACCTAACCTAACCTAACTAACCTACCTACCTAACCTAACCTTACCTTACCTAACCTAACCTAACCTAACCTTACCTTACCTAACTAACCTAACCTAACTAACCTAACCTTAACCTTACCAACCTTACCTTACCTTATCTCTTACCTAACCTACCTTACCTTACCTAACCTAACACTTACCTAGCTATCTAACCTAACCTAACCTATAACCTAACCTAACCTAACCTAACCTAACCTTACCTAACCTAACCTAACCTAAGCTAACCTAACCTACCTACCTTACCTTACCTTACCTAACCTAACCTACCTAACCTGCTAACCTAACCTTAACCTTACCTAACCTAACCTTAACCTAACCTACCTTACCTTACCTAACCTTACCTAACCTTACCTTACCTAACCTTACCTTACCTTACCTACTACCTAACCTAGCCTAACCTTACCTAACCTTACCTTACTTACCTACCTTACCTTACCTATACCTTAACCTTACCTTACCTTACCTTACCTTACCTTACCTAACCTTACCTTACCTTACCTTACCTTACCTTACCTAACCTTACCTAACCTTACCTTACCTAACCTTACCTTACCTAACCTTACCTAACCTTACCTAACCTTACCTTACCTTACCTTACCTTACCTTACCTTACCTAACCTTACCTTACCTTACCTAACCTAACCTAGCCTAACCTGGTCCTCAAAATCTGTTGGAGAGTTTTTAAGCCTGAATGCCTTCCACATCCCCCCCCCCAGGCGCTGTATAATCCTCCGGGTTTAGCGCTTCCCCCTTGATTATAATAATAATAATGGAGAGTTTTTATGTGAATTAACAATAACGAACAGTTTAGGTCAGCAAAAGTAATTATTAGTAACACTAAACTAGGTCAAATTATTATGATTTTAACATTCTTTTTTCTAAATTTACATATAAAAGCTGTTAAATTACTGAAAGAAAAGAGAGAGCTACGTCTGGCAGCAGCCATTACTACGGCGGCTGTTGTCGATAACAACACTAACTATGGCGTTAATTAACTCATAAGATGGCGTTTTATGACTTACATAGGTTTGGCAAATTTTTGTTGCAATAAATAAATCGTCGTAAACCACACGATGCATACATAAGATGTTATGACGTGATGTTTGTCTTCCTGTGACTGACAATAACAAGAAGGTTGGCACTCCTGAGCCTCGCTCTGCTGGCCGGAACTTATATAAAGAAGCGACGACCAGCGAGCGTTGTTACTTACTGCTGCAGGGATGTGGCACTCACATCTTGCCTACCTGGCACTCTTGCTCGTTGTCTCCGCCCTACTAGTTGGTAAGTACTGCTGTGGGTTACTATCTGCTCACCTCGTAGTGGTGTGGCTTATCTGTTTTCATTGTCGGTAACTACTGTGCCTTATGTGTTCCTCGTTGGTAGTTACTTGGCTTACTAACTACTCTCCTCATTGGTAAGTACTCTAGGGGGTCCTAATTCCTTTCTTTCGTTTGCTATTTGGGTAGAGATACTCTTCCAAAGTAGGAGAAAGGGGGGTCATTATACTGTGAGAGGCTCTTGATCCAAGGAAAAAAATGATCTTTCAGGTAATCACGGAAATCCTTTCCTTGTGAGAGTTTAGCAATAATTTAATTCCGAGGTCTATACCACTTTAATGTTCAGGTCTAATGTTAGGTTTGTTTTGTCTTGGGCACTGTTTTATGTTACGCAAATTTAAGAAACGCAAACTAGCGAAATCCGAATCCATCCCAAAATAACCTAATGTAACTTGCCTTGATAAATTGCCTTACTCCGCCAGCGGTAGGTTCGTCTTGACTAAAGTTGGCAGCCTGACTAGCTGCCAACGTAAGCACTAACGATTAGTGGACGGAGAACTGATCCTTCACTACAGGCGCTGAATGGTCCACATGAGTTTAGCGCTTCGCATAAGAATGTGCTTGGCCAGGAACGCCATTATAACTAAACGGTTATAACTGACCATAATTTTTAAAGGGGTGGACCGGTAAGCCAGCGGAAGGCCTCGGTCAGATGACCAAAAGTTCCAGCGGCGGGTCATCTAAGACCCACTTCAGGAAACACTTGTCCTATTTCCTGACGATCCTCGCCAAACCTTCATGCTATTGAAGGATTCTGTAAACCTTGAGGCCAAGTTGTTATTCCCCCCCCCCCCTCCCTCCCCTCCTTACCCGTTGTTTCCCAGCTCAGGCTGACAGATTTCAACTCCTTGTAAGAGTCCCATCCTGCGTGATGGACCACGACAATCAAACAGTTAGTGGAAACAACATCTATCATATGGAATAATGTAGCAGCACACTGCTGATGTGTCCAATTTTGTGGGGGGAGGGGGGAGCTGACCTTAAACCTAGATTTATCTAGGTGTAACTAGGCAAGTAATACTAACAGAATGCACACAAACTAAGCCTGGTGGCTAAAGCTCCCGTTTCGCACGCGGAGGCCCGGGTTCGATTCCCGGCGGGTGAAAATATTTCGACATGTTTCCTTACACCTGTTGTCCTGTTTACCTAGCAGCAAATAGGTACCTGGGTGTTAGTCGACTGGTGTGGGTCGCATCCTGGGGGACAATATTGAAAACCCCGATGAAAATAAGTTAGTCCTCGATGACGCACTGACTTTCTTGGGTTATCCTGGGTGGCTAACCCTCCGGGGTTAAAAATCCGAACGAAATCTTATTTTAACTTGATTATCTATGTACTCTGGGATCCTGTTAAACAGGGAGCTGAAGCTCTACGTCCATTGTCAAAATAGTCCCACAGAAGTTTCAAATCATTAGTAATTTTGCAGTATGTGAAAATAAAAAAATGTGCAGTGTTTTATTAAATTACATCTTTATGAATATATGAAACTTATTTTGAGTTGGTATGTAGTGTAAATCCACCCAAAATTCTTTGGAAAACAATAAGGCTCCATAATACCTGAAACTCCGTAATACCAAATTTAGGTAGGGATCTCTGGAAACTTTTAAGGCGTCTTCGTATTTGTAATTTAACTTTTTAATTACTGCTTGTTATTTTAACAAAACACATTATTTAAGCGTTTATGGTCGTGACTTTTATTTTTTATTTTTTTTTTGTGGTATATATGTATATTTCATTGCAATGAGTAACCTAGTAAGTTTATTCAGGTACACATGAATACAGTTACATAAATAATCATACATAGCATATGTGTAATTACCTGGAATATACCTGGAGAGGGCTCCGGGGGTCAACGCCCCTGCGGCCCGGTCCGTGACCAGGCTTCATGGTGGATCAGGCCCTGATCAGCCAAGCTGTTACCTGTTGGCCGCACGTAAACAGACGTACGAACCACAGCCCGGCTGGTCAGGTGCTGACTTGAAGGTGCCTGTCCAGTTCATACTTGAAGACAGCCAGGGATCTATTGGTAATCCCCCTTATGCATGCTAAGATAACCCAAAACAATTAGTGACTTATTTCCGTTGGGGTCCTTGACCTATGCGGTCAACGTGCCCTGAAAATATCAGACTACTACTATCAAGATTAGGTGGTAATTCTAGAGGTGGATCCTAGAAACTGTCAGTGTGACGCCTGGCTACAAACTCTCCATCTGGAAAATGTTGCTGGTCACAATAACCCACATGAGGCTAGCTTAGGCTGCCCTTCAAGGGGAGGGGGGTGCCTTGGTGCCGTTCAAGGTCTCTTGATCAAAGGAATTGGACCAGCCTTCCTTTTCCTTGGATCGAACTTGATTGCCTTCCCTTTCCCAAGCACTGTATTACCCCTACGGGTTTTGGGGCTTCGCCATGAAAATAACCCGCTGAGGATAAATTATCAACATTGCCTCTACTTAGGGATGCAACTTACGTAACATTTAAAAAGTTAGTCTACGTGTTCCCGCTGACCTCTCAGTAATGAAATTTAAATTAACAATATGTGTATTGTAGGCCATTAAATGCTCGTTATAGGTTGGTAAGTGGATTGCTGGAGACGCACGAAACTCGTAGGAATTATACAGTTTCTGGGAATTGGAGATAAGTCAGATATGATCTAAGGGAGAGGAAGGTAGTTCCAATTTCTTGCATTAAAAGCCCTTTGACAGTGTCGGGGCATCTCTTACCCTTGGAAGATATGGAACAGCAAACATTACCAACAACTTAAGTCTCATTGTACTACGCTAAGTTCAATACGTTCCTAGTGTCATAATCTTAGTTTCTTGTATTGCAAAGACTAAGTTTACTACTTAAGCTTTATTAAGTGATAAACTCAAAAGTCGTACAGCGTACTTAAGTTATGAACACAACAGATAAGCAGATTAAAGAAGAAAACCACAACCGCTTGCGACAAGTCTGACAATATTGTGGTTTAACGTAACAAAGAAACGTTTAGATTGCACGAATATGAGCATAACCCGGAAGCTTTCAGATGTGCACGATTATCACCGATGTAATATGGTTCTTCAGCTCTACACTTCACACCCCTCAAGGAAGGTTCCTTGATGCTGGTGAGGGGCTCTTGATCTAGGGAATTGGATCTGTGCTCCGGTTCCTGAATTAAGCCTGAATACCTTCCACATCCCCCCCCCCCGCACAGGCGCTGTATGATCCTACGGGTTTAGCTTTACTCCCTTGATTATAATATAATAATAATAATAATACACTTCACAGTATTTCAGGGTAGAACGTGGAGGTCGTTTGATGTGACCTGTGTAGTGACCCATTACGATGCACCAAATGCTGGTTTTGGCACCCTGGTTATTTGCTTTAAATGTCTATTTACGTTCAAAACTTTTCCAGGTGCAATACCGCTGAAAAGCATTTTTCCACTATTTGTGTAATTTGCTAATTGGCAGGTAACTATCCACACTCAGGTGTTTATGGTATCGTAACCTAAAATGTATAAAAAGATAAAGGAGTAACGTAATCGTACAGTTTTGCTGAAAGAAGAGTTAGATTCTGACGTGGTGGATTTTGGGTCGTAATTGATTTTAAGGTGTGGTTAAATATGAAAGGTTTCTAGGTGGAGTTTGAGAGGGAGGTTGTTTGTAATATGGGAAAAGTGGATGTTGTGTTAATATGTTTTGAGAGTGTGTTTGGGGGTTAGACTGGTTAAACTCGTCTAGTACCACATCACGCCTCAAGGAAGACATGGTGGTCTAGTGAGATGTACAGGAGGGAGAGAAGTGGGTAGAGAATGTTGATCTAGGACAGTTCCCCACCGGAGGCATTCAACCGCTTCCTTGCCCTATCGCGAGCTGCTCCTACCGTCTCTGTACATCTGTCTGTGATTTACTGACCGGTTTTGATGGAGCCTTTACCCCCATCTTCCACCTGCAGTCCAGCCTGTTGACCACCTAGTTAACTAGGCTGTTTGTGCTAGCGGTCCACATTAGCCATCACAATCTGGTTGATCCAGCAGTTGTAGAAGGAAGCTGGAATCTTGGAAGGAAACTTTGAAACTTGCAGCTTCGTTCAGGCAATTTTTCTGACATCTGCTGGTAATGTTGAATGGTTTTGGGCTACGGATGTGGAGTGTTCTTTAATTGTACCAATGGTCTCGCCAAGAGACCAAAATAAGTGTCAGGGGCCCAAGACTGTACAACTGCCTCCTAGCGTACATAAAGGGGATTACCATAGACCCCTGGCTGTCTTTAAGAAAACGCTGGACAGGTACCTAAAGTCAGTACCTGACCAGCCGGGCTGTAGCTCGTTTATCAGTTTACGTGCGGCCAGCAGTAACAGCCTGGTTGATCAGGCCCTGATCCACCACGAGGCCTAGTTACAGACTGGCCCGCGGGGGCGTTGATCCCCCACACCCTCTCCAGGTATCTCCCTTCACTGTTTTCTCCACGCTTTCTCCCAGTAAGTTGTTACGTGTGCATATTAGGGACCCTGTCCCTCAAGTATCTTTCGTATGTATATTAAAAGTATCTTAGTTCTACGAAGGGCATATTGCTTCAGTTGAAGCGTTCCCAAGAATCTTTAATTTCTCTATTTTTCACTGGTTTTGCATATTGTATAACTGTTTACTGTGAACTTATTGTGTGTGTGTGTGTGTGTGTGTGTGTGTGTGTGTGTGTGTGTGTGTGTGTGTGTGGGGGTGTGTGTGTGTAATGCTGTGCTGACTCGAACTCACTAAAAATTGAACTTTCAATTTTTTTTCAAGGTAGACATTTTGTATTGTTGTCACTGAAAAAAAAGTTTTATTTTTTACCAAGCTTAACTTAGAAACCTCATCTAACCTAACTTATACTAGCGTATATTTTTTTTTTTTAACCTAAATTCTGTTATGCATAGTATAAGCGAGTTTAGAGTAATTTCAGCTGATTTATGGCAAAAACAAATT